TTTCGATGTACTCATACTAATTCTATCTAGATATCTTTTGGTTCTCTTGCCCATAGGAATGCCCGGCAACGCCATGCGGAACATGCCTGCGTCTTTTCGACAGTGGCCGTGGGATGGGAGGAGCTCGCAAGAGACGGTGCATCGCGAGGTCGACCAGAAGTTTCCATCTAGACAGTCTCGCAGCCCGGCCGCCTTCTCGGAGATGTAGCCGACTTCAGTGCAGTACAGACATTTGATGTTGCAGATACAGCTTCATGTCCAAGTGACAATTGAAGTTCTTCTGCAGGAACGAGCGGCAGGGGCCGGGCACACCTGGCGGGCGAGGCCCGCGGTCCCGGAGCAGCCCGGGGCTGTCCCGGTGAAACTGGAGACTGCGCAGCTGGCGGGCGGCCGTGTTTACAAAGCACTTACACGGCTCTATTTCAGCTCCCCAGGGCCCCGGCATCAATGGGGCTTTGAGAGGGCCTCTCAGATACACCGAGTCAGCGTCTGCAGGGCTGGGTCGGAGCGGAGCTCTCGCTTTCTGAGGCTCCGCTGAGCGACTGTAAAATCGCACTTAACCCTCCCACCCTCGGGTGCAGCGCCAAGGACGCGTGCGGTCGGCCCTGAAACCGATGTACAAACACAGCGGCCTGGGGGCTTCCCGTGTCCGACCACGGAGTCCACGCATGGCCCCGGGAGCAACGCGACTGCTCTCGGCAGCTGAGCCTGCCTCGGGGGAGACCACCCCCGACCGAACAATTGAAAGTGCATCCCGTTTCGAATGGAGTCAGAGCCCCGTGGCGCTGGGCCAGGCTTGTGAGCGCGGGGACTGCCAGCGCCCTCGGGGCAACCAGCTGGGTTTGTTCAAGCGTCTTCCCTTCCAAGTCTATTTACATGAACTTCCCTTTCATCGTCAACATGCGTTTCATCACAAGACAGGGCGCGGCCGCCGCACCCCACGCTCCACAAACGCGGCTCTGCAAAACACGTGTGCTCGGCGCTGAGGAAAGACACATTCTCCTGCGTCTCGTTCGGGCATGAAAGACCGAAGGACACGAAACAGAGCGTGTCCGCTTCAGATGCATGAGGTGGCGTATCCGTGTCCCAGTGAGAGCACGAAAAATGGAAACGTCAAAAGGAAAGGACTCTGTTAACTAAGACACAACTAAAGGGGAAAACCTGTGAGAGGAAAATACGTAAATTTAACCACAGAGAGGTCTTAACTTGATGGGAACTGTGGACTACAGACCATTCTCTGGGGATCTGAGCTGTTGGAAACGGTAGCCAACGTGACTTAACTTAATGACATAACTGATGTTTATTAAAAATATAATCTAGCCCGGCCGGCGGGGCTACGTGGTTGGTTGAGCATCAGCCTATGAACCAGGAGGTCAGGGTTCGATTCCCAGTCAGGGCACAGGCCCGGGTTGCGGGCTCGATCCCCAGTGTGGGGCGTGCAGGAGGCAGCCAATCCATGATTCTCTCTCATCATTGATGTTTCTATCTCTCTCTCCTTCTCCCTTCCTCTCTGAAATCAATCAAACACACACACACACACACACACACATATACATACATATACGTGTGTGTGTGTGTGTGTGTGTGTGTATACGTACATATACCATATATATAATATGTTCTTACGCTGAACCCCATTATCACTTCGCTGCTCCTCGAGTCACGGGATCTCCATCCACCACCAAACACGGTGTCCATGCCTCGCCCAGGCTTTATCACGGGCTTTGGGTAAGAGATGTGTTTAAGCCACAGGCGCTGCTCCAGGCACCTGGTGGAATATATGTGCATATGCAGGAAGCGTGCCCTGCTTTCTCTATGTCTGAAACAGCTCCCGCACAAGCATCCCCTTTTCTGCCTTCAGCCACACTCTGCATACAGCTCTGCGACCAAGACACTCGGGACACATGCATGTGCTGAGCTGCATCTGAGTGAGGAGTCAGTGAGCAGCCCTCTGAACCCACAGCTGCCGGGGCCTCCTGGTGGGCACGCACTTCCTGCCCACGACTGGCTCTGAACCAGGTGGCGAGCTCTGACCACACAGGTCACACGCTGAGGCTTGAGATGTGCTTGTGCTGTGGGCGTGTCACCCGTGCTTCAGGCACAGCCAGTGCAGAGACCACACCCAGACGGCCCATTCACCTCACAGGACGGGGACAGAAGCAGACCTGTGCCCAGCCAAGCCCAGCCCAGACCGACCAACCACATCAGCACACGGGCGTGGACCGGAATAAGCAAGAGTGGTTTTAAGCCATGGAGTTTGGGAAGGCTTATTCACAGCACTATAGTAAAAGATGGCTAATCCCACTTTTTAGAATGAAGAAATACCAAAAAATAGCTAAATATCTAATCGATCAAAATGTTTTACAAATTTTGATCTATGCAGAGTGTGTTGTTAGGGAAAAAATATAGTTATCACCATCATCACCATCACCACCATCATTATTTATCCTCACCATCACCATCACCACCATCATCACCATCACCACCATCATTATTTATCCTCACCATCACCATCACCACCATCATCACCATCATCACATCACCATGATCATCACTGTCCCCGTCACCATCACCATCATTATTATCCCCATCATCATCATCACCATCACCATCACCACCATCACCATCACCATCATCACCATCACCATCATCACCATCACATCATCACATCATCATCACCATGATCATCACCGTCCCCGTCACCATCACCATCCCCTTCATCATCATCATCACCATTTCCGTCACCACCGCCACTGCCATCTCAGCCGTGTATAGCGCTGCACACACCCTTACTTCCTCTCTGGAGCAGCTTTGCGCTGCACAGTCTGCGCGCCCACTTGGCAGTCTATGACTGTGTCAGCCCTTCCTACCCATGATTACAAACATGCTGACTCCTGTCACCTGGACGACTTCCCAAAGGCCGGTGTGGGATCCTGGCATGATTTATGAGCTGGTCGGGCACTTGTAAATAATGTCTGACGTGGGGATTTCTGACAAGGATGCAGGCTGCCTTTTAAGCAGGAGGAGGAGGGCGAGGGAGGACCCGGGAGGGAGGCCTCTGTCACTGAAGCCAGCTGCGCCGGTACCTGGGGGAACCAGCGTTCTGCTTTACATTTGAATCTTAATGCTGGGCAATGAGAACCATCTGCACAGCCCGGCGCACTGGCTCCCCGCCCGTCCCTCCCGCAGGCTCACAGCCTCCTGGACACGGACACGTTATCTATCCCCTCCCACCCGCTCCGACCAGTCCCAGCCCCACCTCCCCGAGATGTCCTGACAGCTGCCTTCCTCCTAACCCGCTTCGGGGATCATCCTTACTGCACACGACGTGCTGAGATGGGTTCACGGGGACCCCTCTTCTGGGAGCAGCTCAGGGTGAGGGCCCGCGGAGCCTGGCACCAGGAGCATCAGCAAGAGGCACAGCGTGGCAGCCGTCGCTGCCACCGCACGTGGCACCACAGAAAGGAAACCCGAACGTCCTCTGCACCAGGAAGCAACTGCTGTCTGTCCCTGTGAGGACGGACGGACCTAAACTCATGGGAGTCGTTTCACAACATGAGGCGGGCGCTGCGCTGCGCTGTGCACTCAGACCGTGCAGGGTGTCAGCCACGTCTCAGCACCACTGGGACAGGAAGAAGGCAAGAGCCACAGCAACGGCCCAAGGGGAACATGAGGGGGTCTGGCCAGGACAGGGCCCGGGCCGGAGAAGAGAAGGGGCAGGCCCAGACCTGGAGCGTGTGATGCAGGGAACAGCACCCGCTTCCGTCAAAATCAGAGCCTCTTCTGCTTCCTCCATGGTCCCCGCAGCAGCGGGCAGCAGGGAGAGTCACGGGCAGAGCTGTTTCACACAGTCAGGGCGCGTCGCTCACGGACCCAGAGAGCCTTCGCCCAGGTGCGTCCCACCGTCCACAGGGAACTGAGGCGGGAAAAGGTTCAGCAACCGCCCTTCGTCACATCCCTGTGGGGCGGAGCCAGACTCCAAAGCATCGGGCCCAGCCTCCTCCGTGCCTCCCCCCAGGGGGCACCCCAACGTCAAGCAAGTGCAACCCTGTGCATTCAGCCGGAAGAGAAGAGGGACGGTCTTGATAGCATCTTTTATTTCAATCTAAGAAAAACGATTAAGTCCAAAGTTCAGAAATAGAAAAGATTATCAATAAGTTTAGGAGTGTAATTGTGTCCTTAGCAACGGTGAGGGTTTAGCGGCTCCAGGTTCAGCTTTCACTCTGCACATTAAACAGGGAGAAGCCGCCGTCTTCACGCCTATTCGCAGGGGTCGGTGTCCGCCACGTGCTGGGGAGTGAGGCCCACGGAGGTGTTTTTCTGCCCACACGTCGGAGCCGAGCCAGCCTCACGGCTGGTCACACGCGGCCCCCGCCGGCCTCCCAGGGGCCGCAGAGCCGTGGCCACTCAGTGCGGGGTCCAGCCGGACAGTGGCCCCTGGCTGTACAGGGGCCGGTTCTGTGGCTCTCGGTGTGAGCATCCGGTCCTGACCGGTCCCTCCCCAGTGCCCCCCAGAGGACTGGCCCAGTGACAAGTTCTTGTGCCCTCGGGGCCTTCAGGAAAGAATGAGGAGGAGACGGAACCCGGGCCAGGGCCCTGCCTGCCAAGGGCGCGCCACCCAGCGCCCAGCTGTCCCAGCGCCTCCTTTAAGGAGACTGTTGGGAGCTGCTCAGGGCACAGTCCACCTTCCAGGGGCCCCGGGAGGGCAAGGCCGGGTGGAAGGGAAGAGGTGGGCAGATGGCAGTTGTGGCCTGATGCCAACTCCTCTCTGACCTTGAACCCTGCCCGCTGCCTGGAGCCAGCGCAGGGAGGAGGGAGTCCCCCAGCGTAGATTTCACTGCCTGCGGCCAACCTTGAGGTGGCAGAGCAGGCCCACGAAGGTGTCAGGGACTGTCCCCCAGACCCCATCATCGCCGCGGTTGTGGTTGCCAACGTGACGGGAGTGAGACCTCGAGAAAGCAGAGCAAAGGGACCAGGTCCCAGAGACACGCAGCCCGGCACACGCCACCTGCACGCCAGGCCGGCGGCTAACGGCAACCCTTACAGACCAAAGTGTGGGCTCCCACAGCCACCCGAGGCTGCCAGCACGGTGGGTCTCAGAGCAGCGGCCGGAGGAAGCTGAGTGCCTGTGGGCCCCATCCTGTGCCAGGGAGGAGCCACGGCTGCAGCCGCTGTGCCCGAGCCGCCGTCCGCCACGCGGACACCCAGGGGACCCAGAGAGCAAGTGGAAGCCCGCCCCGAACAGCGGCGATGTCCACGGTCACAGGGACACATACATTGTATGTGATTAACCTGCCAAAGCCAGCCCCTCCCTCTTCACAGATCAAAGCAGTCCGTTTAAATATCTCCTTTCTACAAAGTGGATTTACATTTAAAGTACAAAGTGCAAATACTATGGGTTTTGTTTCTGTTTTTTAATTGTGTTTGGTGAGGGAGCCTCCCACACGTCTCAGGCGCCTCGGCCGCCGTCTCTTATCCTCGGTTCCTGGGCTGGAAAGGAGACGAGAAAGATAGTGTGAGACCTTCTCATCCCTCGTCCGTGACGAAGGCCTGCCTTCCGGGAAGGGAATAATCCTGTCTGCTGACAACCAGGGGAAAGCGATCTTTTAAACAGTGTGATTTTGGCTGCGATGACCCTATATAATAAGACCCTAATATGCAAATTGACCAAACAGCAGAATGACCGGTCGCTATGATGTGCACTGACCACCAGGGGGCAGATGCTCAACACAGGAGCTGTCCCCTGGTGGCAGTACGCTCCCATGGGGGAGCGCCACTCAGCCAGAAGCCGGGCTCACAGCTGGCAAGCGCAGCAGTGGTGGTGGGAGCCTCTCCCGCCTCCACGGAAGTGCTAAGGAGCAGCGAGCAGGCGGGTGGTAAGGAGCGAGGGGTCCCGGACTATAAGAGGGATGTCTGACTGTCAGCTTAGGCCTTAGGGATCGGGCCTAAGCTGGCAGGCAGACATCCCCCGAGGAAGCCCGGACTGTGAGAGGGTGCCAGCCAGGCTAAGGGACCCCCCTGCCCTCTGGTGCACTAATTTCACGCACTGGGCCTCTAGTTAATACATAAAAGACAACGAGGACCTTCTGGACATTTACCTTCTACCACCGTCCTCCCCTCAAGGATCAGAAATGTCGGGGGAACATGCTGGGTGAGAACATGAGCCTTTGCTCCTAATGTTGTAAGTGGGCTCCACATATCAAACACCCTGCAGAAGTTCCCTTGGATCAATATACAAATCATTTCAATAATCTAATTGTGCTTCCAATTCCATAAAGGCATCCTTGGCTTCTTAACTTTTCTTTTCATTCATTTTAGTCACTACCTCTCAGAAGAAATACACTGAGCAAAGTTTGTTTAAATTACTCAAGTTCTGCCCGGCCAGCGTGGCTCAGTGGTTGAGCATCGACCTGTGAACCAGGAGGTCAGGGTTCGATTCCCCGTCAGGGCACATGCCCGGGTTGTGGCTCCATCCCCAGTGTGGGGCGTGCAGGAGGCAGCCGATCCATGATTCTCTCTCATCAATGTTTCTCTCTCTCTCTCCCTCTCCCTTCCTCTCTCTCTAAAAATCAATAAAAATATATGTTAAAAGTTTAAGCTACTCAAGCTCTGCATTCTGACTGCCAATTGAAAGCAATCCAGAAAGAAAGGAAGCGCTGGGAGCAGTGTTCCTGGCCATTCTCCCAGGTGGACCAACTCCTACCACACAGGCGCTCCACGCCTCTGCCTCATCGTTCAGAATGGTCTTGGACATTGAGGAGGTTTCCGGTGGGCGACGCTCGGGATGGAGATTCGAGTGGGATGGGGAGGGGATGTCCCGCCGCGAGAGGAGGAGCCCTTTCTCTAGGAGCTTCCCAGGCCCTGGGCTGGGCCCAGGTGCTGCAGGCAGTGGCTCCAGCATCACCCCACCCACCGCCTGAGGGTGCCGCCCACTTCTGAATCCCCATGGAAACTGGAGACCGCTCACTTTCTGATCGAGGACTAGCTCGCTCGTCCTCCTCTCTCCCCGTGCAATCCTCTCGTCTCCGTTATTCAGATGAGGAAGGACGGAGGCGCTTGGAGCTACTGTGTCCTTTGGGGAAATATCGATGGGCTTGGATCACTGGGCCGATGCCAGCCAAGCCGCCTGGCGCTTTCAGGCGAACAGCCCTGGACGATGGCACGGAGCCCTGCAGCCTCTCGGGCAGCATGCAAGCTGGAGAGTTACCTGCTCGGTTTCTTTCTCCGGGAAAAGCCTGGGGGCGAGGCTCCTGTTCCGAATGGGGCTCCTCAGGTCGAGGGGGGCTTGCGTGGGCCCACCCCGCCCTCTCTGACGACATAACCCCCGCACAGCTGGGCGTGCGCCAGCGTAATGGCTTTCAGCCGGCCCCGCTCCCACGTGCAAGTGATTTGCGGTGGGATTTTTAAAAGTTAAAGCCGTAAACATTTGCTAAACAACGAAAACCGTATCACACATCTGTCTGACGAACCGGTTTCAAGTTACACCCAAGGTGTGTGCTGGAGGCCTCCGCTCAGAACCCACAGCCGACGCAGGGCTCCCCGAGGGGATGCGGCTGCACCAAACGGGGGAGACAGGACGCTCTGGCGCGTGGTCCTGGGCAGGGGTCCTCAAACTACGGCCCGCAGGCCACATGCAAACACAAATATTGTATTTGTTCCCGTTTTGTTTTTTTACTTCAAAATAAGATATGTGCTGTGCGCATAGGAATTTGTTCATAGTTTTTTTTTAAACTATAGTCCGGCCCTCCAACGGTCTGAGGGACAGTGAACTGGCCCCGTTTAAAAAGAATGGAGGCTCGGCCCGGCTTCGGGGGCCGCGGGCCGCTCCTGTTTGTCTGGCCGGTGTCCTGGGCCCGGGGTGGTCGTGGCAGGGACCCCGCGATGGCCTCCAACTGAGCGCAGAGACAGACTCACAGACACAGAGTGTTCACAGCCCGCAGCAGGGAGCTGACGCCCCTCAGGGCCCCTCGATGCAAAGGGAGGTGCCCCTGGCCCCCCAGGGCGTGCCCTGTCCCTCATCTCCTTCCTAACGTGTCAGAAATACAGACCGAACCTCGAAGAATGGTTTCAAATCAAGCATTTATGTCCACAAAACAAGAGGACTCGACTTACAAATAACGATAATAAAGTAATTGAAACTTCAAATAGTAAAAAGGAAAATTAAGGCAAAATCTTCCCATTGACTTAACCTGCTGATTTCTTTTTGTTGTTGTTCTGTTTTAATATATTTTTTATTGATTTCAGAGGAAGGAAGAGGGAGAGAAAGAGAGAAACATCAATGATGAGAGAGAATCATGGATCAACTGCCTCCTGCACATCCCACACTGGGGATCGAGCCCGCAACCCGGGCATGTGCCCTTGACTGGAATTGAACCCGGGACCCTCCAGTCCGCAGGCCGACGCTCTGTCCACTGAGCCACACCAGCGAGGGCTAGCTTGCTGATTTCTGACAGAATCTGATCAGGGCGGACAGGCATGTGCCTCGTCTGGATTGTGCGTTTTGGGTTTTTTTTCTTGGAAGGTGCTTTACTTTCCAAATCTGCAGAACCCTCAATGTTTATTGCCTATAAGTGAACCAGCAGGTTACGAAGGTGAAAGTCGAGACACACTCACCTGTCTATGAGAAGTGCTCTCCGCAGTACCTTTGGGGGCTGTTGGGGGAGAAAACACAAAGACGATGTTAACTACTGCACACGCTCCCTTCGCTGAACGGTTCAAGGCCCGCTTCAGGGAGGGACCATGTCACGTTAGGATGACGTCAGCAACAGCGAACGTGTTTCCATGGCAACGCTGAGCCCACAGGCAAGGCGTGTGGGTCCCAGGACCCTGCTGTGAACGTCTCCTCACAGGACGCGAGCCCTCCCCAACCTCGGGGCCGTTCATTTCGCCGAACCTTCCCCACGCCCGTCCGCGAAGGCCAGGCCTTCCCTCCCCTGCGTGGGTTTTGCCTATTTTCTGTGGTTTTGCCAATTTTTAGAGCAGGGAGCACTCAGCCACTCAGTAGACAGAGGGCAGCGTTTTCCCCCCAAAGGCCTTGATTGATTGTTGCCTTCTGGCTGCGAGATAAAAAAAGTACCGAGGAAGGAGCAAAGTCGTTCCATTTCCAAACCCCTGCTCCTCCTGCTGACTCGAAGAAGCACCATCACATGCAAAGTCGAAGCACAAAGGTACTGAGTAAATTGCAAAAATATTGAATACACACACAGTCAGTAAAAGGACTATTTTTTTCAATTGTAGTTTTGAACGATTCAAGTACGAGGGTAATTGTAACCACTTGGCTTCCTCTGGGATGACTGCTTCACTAAGAAACGTGGAGCCACTGGTTCCAATTTAAAGAACGTTAGTGATCCTTGGGATCCGGTCTAAGCCAGTTTGGCTGTTCAACAATTGCCGCCTTTTTCTTGGTTTCTTTTACGACAAGTATCAGTGTCCCTGGTAACTGGAGGTAGCTCTAGGTTAAAGGTAAGTAACAAGAGTCAAAGTTAAT